AGGTCCCGTGTTAACATAACGTAAGAAAAGCCTACACTCATAGGCGCCGACTTCTAAAATATATTTGGGGGGGGGGGGGGGGAAGTTCCTAATGCCCCTGAAATAACAATCCCCCAGTTGGAGCTCTAAACAGAATGGAAAATCATTTTTCATTTTTTCGTGAAGCAGCATTTTGTGTCCAATTTTCCATGTGCTATACTTCTTTTGAAATTTTGCCATTCTTGGGGGGGGAGGGGGGGGGCGTTGCCCCCTCAATAATATAGTTGGGGGGACACGTGCCTCTTAGCCTCCCTGGGTTCGACGCCTTTGCCTACACTTGAAGATACATATTTTTGTCGAATCATATCCATCTATCAATCCATTGCCTGCTTATTTGGTCAGCAATATAGTTGTAATTGTTTGATCCATGAATACATCTAATATCCTCTTAAAGTCAGCTGCGGAAGGCGCAGCCACTACACCATAACTTGACACGTTCCGTGCATTCCCACGTGGTTTAACCCTTTCGCTGCGTAACTTTTGAAGAACTAATAGAACTGTGGGCGACTGAAGTCGCTTTCGTAGCGAAAGGGTTAAGCAACTTGAAATAGTTTCCTTTCTTTCTGCTGATATCATCTAGTTGATAAACCAATCACGCTCCACTTTATCGGTTCCCTTAATGACCTTAAATGGAGAATGATTTTCACCCTCGTTTATCTTCTTGTTCTCTGGTGCGAATGGAATCCCATCACATAAACGACTCCCTCATGAAAGTCCTCGAAACTCATTTATTATTTTAGCAGCCCGCCTCTGTATCCTTTCTAGCGCTGTTAAATTGCTTTTCTTTGTGGTCTCAAAATTTGACTTAGACTAAATGGAGTCTTAAAAGTTCTGCATGCAACAGGAGAATAGCACTCGAACTCTCGTTAGCCATGAATAAGAGAACAGAACACAAGGTTAAAGAAAAAAGTTATTTATTATTTTACTGAAAATAACTATTTCCAAATAACATAAATACAGGTTTATAGGATTGACTTTAACCTTCAAGCCAGGTATGAAAATTCTAAACCAAAAAAGTCATGGGAATCCACGTTAACGTTAAAAGTATTCAATATGAAGTGAAGAGAAGGGTTACTGAATGACAGGACTCACTATGGTAGATTGGAGAAGCCACTTCTTCAAGCTATGAAGTATGAGTCCTAGACTACGAGACGTGAAGAACACTGATGAACGACCTCGCTATATCACTGGGTTTATGTGCATGAATAATTCGGTCAACGCAGAGGTGAGAGAAGTTATATAACCTCTCCCGGTGCACACGTGTTTCCCTAAGTTGCTAAAGAGCGGGGAGAAAATCACTCATCCTAACTCAGTAGTGAACACGCTCAAATCACGGGAGACGTTGGGTCGCCAATATTTAGATCTGGACGTAGGAAAGGTGATGTGCAGCGAACTTGCACGGCGAAGGGCAAGAGATCGCCTCGCCTGTTTAACTGAATATGGTCCGCACATGCGCGTGACTCGTTCTCGACCTCCTACTGCGCATGACCTCGGTTTTCCTCTCCCTCAGTTATTGTTATTGTATTCATGGGTTGGTTAAAGAGTGCACAGAGGGGGTACGTCTGCTCCAGGAACCCTGATTTCTGTTGCTACTCGACACGATGTCGTCTCGTGTCTGCAATATCGTGATCCTGACTCGCGTATTCTGCTCTGATGACTTCAAGCGTTGATTTCAAAGCGAGGCGACGCAAGGAAAGTTCTGAAATGGAGCCGACGACTAGACAAGTCCCGAAATTGGTAACCTTTGACAGTGTTTGCTAATGAAAAATAGCAGGTGGCCCTTGAACAAAGCATGACCAACCATTTTCAACAAATGAGGTACTCATGGACTCTCATTTCCTCGGGGGTGTGTCTTCTGCTGTTCTCAAATACCCGCTTTTCCGCACTAACAATACTGAAGAGTATTTTGATGAAAGTATTGATCCCTTGTAAACAAATCAGACACCCTTCGACTCTATGTGTTTATTTTCTGTATCTAGAGCAAACAAATACTGGTAGCATTGAGAAGTACTTGTAACTTTAAAATTAACGGGTGGTATGCTTTTACTGATAACAAATATTAAACTATTTTAAGGTAGCACCGAATGGCGTTCTTGTTTCGTGTGATCCAACGAGATCCCGAAGAGGCAGACGCGGAGGTGGAGTCCGTCTCTACTTTACTTTTCGACGTTCGTCTAGTGCAGTGGTTCTCTATCTGTGGTCCGCGGACCAATGAGCACATGGACCTTCTATGGGAGTAAAAGGGAGTTTGAGAACCACTGGTCTAGTTCTAGTGCATTATACTCTTGAGCAGTAGAGCCTGCACTGGCGGCGGGTCAGCCCGAATAGCCAGACCCGACCAGCGGGCCATTTCGGGCCAAATGTCACGATCAATGAAACGATCTCTCGCCGGGTCGGGTCTGGTCGAACTGAGTTTTTCTTTGCCTCTTTTGCCTATTTTTTTTGTTAAAATCTTGTCTCAGGGCTGGGACCATGGATATTCTGCGCCTGGACTGGAATGCGTTAATAATGCATTTTGCCTTTGCGAAGGAGATTAATTTAATATGTAACTGCGAAAGTAAATAAAGACCAGCTGCATCTGAGACCCGAGGGGGGCAGCTACCATGAGCCGACGCCATTTAAATGGGAGGCTATCTAGGTCATGCTCTACCAGGAAATTTTCTCGTGCGAGGCATGTACGATCTTCATTCATAAGCATGGAATGGAAATGCCAGTACCTTGTGATCGCATGACGGAGGTCATTTATGGCTACCGAGTCAATCCAGACTTCCTCTGAGATCGCGAGACTTCCTCTGAGGTCGAAGATGTGAAGGAAGTTATGGAAAAACTTATATCAGGCTTATATTGGATGTCGTGGCCAATTTAAGTGTGGTTGGTCACGAGATTGGAGAATGTCGTTCATCACTTAAGCCAGAGACAGTCGACAACATCTTGTTTTTTTCTCTCTCCTCTTCCTCGGGTCTGGTCGGGTAGGACCGTGAAGCGAAGCAGCCATTCGGGTCTCTGGTCTGGTGCGGGTCAGGATCTGAATTGGGCTGATCGGGTCGGGTTCCGAAATATCGATCCGTGTAGGGCTCTATTGGGCATGCAGTCAATGCTGCAATTGCATGTATTTGTCAGAATTTCTTGTACTTGAACACGAAATACAATCAATTGCACCTTTATACTGAGAAAAATAAAATGCATTTAATCAAATCGGTTTGGTACTTCCCTGAAAGTGCTTTTCAGTTCTGCTAATACAAGGAACTCAGTATTTGCGAACCCAGGAGGGTCCACCTTCTATGTAAAACAAAAGGGTAACAAAATACCAAATAACTTTTTTTCTCACCTTTTATTGGAACTTCCAGTAGATAAATGCCTCTGAAAATATTGAGAGTTTGTTCAACATGGACACGAGAGTCATGTATCTGGGTGTACATCTATCTAAGACCTGTCATTATTCCTGATGTTCATTCTGGTCAGAGGCAGCTTCTGGAAATTGTATCTGGCTCTGACAAAAACCGTAAGAGGGATTTTAGACAAACTGATCGTGAGGAACATATCTTTTTCGTATCCGGAACCGCAACCTCTATATCAAATATTCATAAATTGATTCACAGTAGATTCTAGGGCTACTAATCGATCAAAAGCTTCAAACCAATCATTTCTGAACTGCTTGAACGATTCATCGAATTTTCATCTGCCCGTGATTTCTTATCTATATTTGGAAAAGAATTAATAAAATTCTGAAAGAGACAAAGGAAACGTCATCTGGCGCTGTCATCTGCCAGATGGCTTGCTATCATGTCATTCTTACAGAGACCGCTTTAGATGCCACAATTTTACCAGATGGTGCATAATCAATCTTCAGGTTTTGCTTTTGGATATCTCACAGGTACTGACGATGAATGACAAACGGAACCCACCCGATTCAGGTCAGATCCTCGGGAGGAGAGTAATAGTATTAATAATTATTTAGTTTCGATTATTCTCTTTTAAATCTTCATTGCAATTATAACTTTAATTTTTTATATTCAATCTATGAATCGAATGGAATAGGTAATTCTAATGCATAAGTGTATGGACCTTGCTCCTTACTTCTCCTACAGCCTGCCTACGAAAGCTATTACTAACAAACTCTGACAATAGTGAGTGTTTGATTTATTGATTGTGATGTAATTGTGAGAAGTTTTCAACTTCTTCTTTCTGTAATTGTTAGACCACAACCTTTTTTCATGCTTATAATGGTGAATTTTACAAGGGTGACAAGGGACTCTCAAGCATCCAAAAGGTCCTCACTTCCTCAATTAATGTACCTACCTTCCGACGAAGCTGAATACTCGACCGCCATCGACAGGGCACCCGGGAAGTATGTTCACACAACGGACAGTTCTGGATTTTCTCGTAAGCAGGAACCAGAATGTCTCCTCTCTTTATTGCAATCGTCTAATACAAGAGAGGATTCCAATACCTGCAGTGTTTGTGCCCTCAAAAGAGACATTCGAGTAAAAAAAAAAATATTAAAACTGAAAGAATGTTTTTATTATGAGCGACCTCCCTACTGGAGCATCGTCCATTCAGCCTAATTCAGATCGGAAACAAAGGAGTTTACTTTCAATAACTGTGTGTGGATAGTTCCCCTTCAACGATATAGTGCTTCATCTCAGTCAATTAAGTTACATTTTAAATTGATCTGATTAATAGCAAATACTAAAACCACGTAGCTAATAGCACATCAGCTCAAATATGATTTTAAAAACCACCTCTGGTTGGAATATGCCGTATATATTCGTACATTTTATGCACTGAATTCGTTCTGGCATAGCACAGTAATCTAAATATAAGTTTTCTTGTTAGTGGCATTTGATTTGATGCATCTTCTGGGCGTTCTAATGAAACAGTAGAACAGAAGAAAAATTAGAGATTTGAGGGATGGAAGGAGGAAGCTTTATTTCGGTCAATCGAGAGAAAGAAGGGAAATTGGGTATCACAAGCACATGAAGGTGCGAAGCACTTTCCGTCTTAAATATTATATGAAAAATAAGCCTCTCTCAACGAACTGCACTTACGAAGCATTTGAAAAAAATTATTTTTGACTTCGTCGCTCTTCAGAGTCGAGATCAAGAAAATCGTGCCAAACATACCTCGAAAGGGGCAAAAACAACACCGATGCAGTTTGTTTCTTTGTTGGGCTATTATCACAAGGGAAATGCTTTCCCCCTTTCCATGGCAGGAGGAAGGTCGAATCTTCAAATGTCCACCTCCAAAATTGGGGGTGTTGCCGGTGATTGTCATCTGTCAGCGACCCTGGGACCATTGAGAAAGTAGGTGATCATCTCCCCTTTTCCCTTGACCTGGATCGTTCCCCGACAGGTCAGCGGATAGCCTCGTTCATGCAAGATCTGGTATACGTCCTGCGTCACCTACAAAAAAGGATGACCCCGTGCGCTGCCAATGACTTGTGCTTGCACCATTCAAACAAAATCAATATACCCAAATGCAGTATTTTCATTCCAAATGCAAAACTTCATCGAGAATCATTATTAACTTAATAGAGCCAACTCGTCAGACGAGATCTGAAATATAAAAGAGAAGTCTGCGTCTGAAAGTGCAGCCACCGTAAAGCCCTCTTCCATAGAAGCCTTGCCTCCGTGAAATCTTATCTAGTCTCCACAAGGCATTCTCGCATACAAATGATTCGGGATCACCGTGAGGGGACAAGACCTGGTTTTAAATAGCAGCCACGAGTTGCTTCAATCGCTATACTGAAATGGGGCTGATGTTGCAGCTCCATGATCTACATCTAGCAGGCAAGATTGAAACCAGCTCACGAGGGATACATATGCCTACCCTGCGCAATAAATAATAATTTCGGTTGCTTGATTTTTCGAAAAAGGGGTGCGTAGCTCCCACCACGTTCATCATATACTAATCTCATGAATTTTCCATCTACCGGTCTTATCTGCGAAATTTGACCTTATTTCATAAGCAATAAGAAGCCAATAAAAACAATTCTGAAGTTTTTGACAGTAATGTTACCCAGGTGTTTCCTCCACTTTAATATTTACAAGAATTTTCCATTTTCATTCGTGTGGAGGGAGTCCCTGAATGACGTCAGCGTCTCAAACAATTCTCGTGCAAACTGCTAAAAGCTGGCTGAGTAATACTCAGTCGTTGTCGCTTTAGATTTCAGAAATCCCTCTGGAGCCAGAAATTGTCAGGTGAGATGGACGAAGAGAAGAGGAAATGGGAACTGAGACCTGGATTTTGTCCGGGATTCCCGTGGAGTCCATGCGACTGGCCACATTCACAGCATTCCCCCAGATATCGTATTGAGGCTTTCTGGCCCCTATCACCCCTGCTACCACCGGCCCCATGCTCATGCCTATGAAGGAAAATTATGCAAAAATGAAAGAATTCAATACGCATTATTCTTCTCTACTTGATGAAATATCGTATTCTTGGCTCACCGATTTGGATCTTGAAATTGTTGAAGGAGTGCTCATTGACGTATTCGAGTTGCTCTCGGAGACGAAGGGCAAAATCAGCCGCGATCGTCACGTGGGTGTAGTTTTTCATATCACATGCACTCTGCGTCAGACCTGCAAACATTCACAATTCATATTTAGATAAATATGGTCGATGGTTCTGATGTGACTTTTCGAAGGGTGCATGTAGGAATGGGAGACCGGAAGCGGCCATGTAGGTGGACCCTGTGGTCTTGATCTTCTCGATGACCTTGAAAGGATCCTGCCCGAGGATCTCGTCGAAATCAGCAATGATCTCATTCAGGAGACGGAGACATTCCACGCCCTCGTTATTCGCCTCCAGTTCCACGTAGAATTCGGAGAAGTTGGAGATGGACGCAAAAACGACGCACACACACTCGCATTGCTCGTGGTACAGGTCCTAAGTAGGAATGTGAAAGTCCGTTTTCAAAATTGTCGCTTTTCGGCCCTGCGTCATTCGTCTTGCACCTTGCAGTAAAAATGCTATTTTGCCAAGAGACGCAACAGATTCGCGTATCTCCTCAAGCTACAGTAAAATAAGACCCCATTTCGTATTCCCCATTAGTATTCTGTCCAATATTGAAGGTCTGCTAATGAAAGTGATTTTTAACGGCGCAAGAAAGTATACGGAGATGGGCTACGGAAATGATAATGGAGGTACTGTACGAAGACTTTCATCGGAGAGAAACGATTAGAAGTGTTAGGACTGTATTCTCTCGAAAAAAGGTTAACGAGGGGAGACTTCATCCAGGCATTCGAGATCATTAAGAGAATCGATAACGTGAAGCGTGGTAGAGTTTTCCAACTCGATGGCAGAAGCGGAACGAGAGGGAACCAATTTAAGTTACGTTAGGAGATGAAATAGAGGCTGCCCTTCCGTGACTAGCTTTAAGAAGAGATGTCTTCATGGAAAAAAATAAAAAGGGAGAATCGTAGTCGTAAGTAACCAAGCAGAAGGTGGATATAACGCCACAATCATATTTATCTTTAAGAGGGGTAGGCCTATCATATTTTACATAACCCTTGAAACGGGACGTCATAATGGACGAAAATGCTCATCCAAGATGTGCAATATCTTCCCCTGTGTGTTCTAGCTGCAATGACCAATGGATGCGAGACGCGGAATCCCACTTTGAACCAGGAGGAGCAGAGACATGATTTTGCTGGATGAAAAAATACTTATTGATGGGACTTGAAAATGTGAAAATTGTTGAAATGAGAAGTGACAGGTGTCACTTCTTGTTGACAGATGTACTAAATGTTGTATCTCCAACCGAATTTTAGTCAAGACATTTCCAAAACTGGGCGGATCTCTTCCATGGATCCATTCTCGAAAAGGACTTATCCCACCACCCCCATCCAATTTTTTTCTTATTGCTCGCTCGGAAAAAAAATTAGAACTGCACTAATAATTTACTCTTACTATACATTTACATGGAAGCAATGCTACATCTAGGACCGTCGATTCTATATTTCTGGACCTGGTTAAAGAATAAAAATGTAAAAATTTTTTTCCCTGTAACTTGCAATGTACCATAATGCATTCCTTTGGTTCACTCGTCGCAGGTCCAACATGCAATTTAACTTCACAATTCATCATTCGCTTTCTCAAGTCTTAACGTTCGTAGAGTCAGATTCTTGCCACTTTTAATAGAAGGAACTAATGAATGAGTCCTTCTCCGAGCTTTTATTATGCCTCATAGGGATGGGAAAGGGTGCAGTGAGAGAGATAAGATAGTGTAGTTTGTGTTCTGGACGACATGAGTGAATCCAAGCTCTGATTTCTATGAACAATTTAGAATAGAGATCATCCGTCGTGATTTCATGACGTTCGCCAGCTCTTCCAGGATGCGACATGTAGTTTTTATAAAGTACCGGTACTGGGCTTAGGCTGACACTATGCGCACAGGGCTTAGGCTGGCAGCATCCATCAATGCACCCATGTCACCCTTAATGGCTTCGCCTGGGATTACATAGCATCGCAGAGTGTGAAAGAGAGGACCAGAATCAAGATTGGCAGGTTCTTGAAGGGTGACATGTTTGTAAGAGAAGGCGAACAGTGAAGGGGGTAGGGGGGGAGGGGATGGGGGAAATTACGGAAGGCGATGGTGAAGAGGGATCTTGGCAGGCGACAAGTGTGTCTGCCCATTTTCTTCCCTCGCCTAATCATCGACATTTTGTCTTGCCACAAACACCAGCAATTCCCCGTAAATGCCTCTGCCTCTTCATTCTGAGACTCTAGCCCCATCTAACACTCTCCTAAGGGATTGGTGGAAAGAACGAGAAGAGGACTCATGTAGGTAGATCCACAGGTCCCCTTAGTTAACAAAAAATAACCTATAATCAAAGCTCACTTCGGTCAGCGCATCCAGTTAGCACATCCAAGCATCAGTGACCTCTATCTATTGAGGGAATCCCTGGAAACGCGGTAGACAGGAGGGGGAAAGCCCCTTTGCCCCCTTTTTTATGGAAAAGAGGCAAAGAGACAATCCCTCTAAGCCTTCCACCGCTTTCAGTTTCTTTCCGAGATATTTCATTTTTCATTTCTCCCTTCTTTCTTTTGAAATGAAAAGATGCTCGGACACTTAGCGGATATTTCGTATATCAGCTGCCGTCGGTTGTTAATTTCGCAATGAGGAAAGAAATCGCATGCTCCAGAAATAGTGTGCTTTTCTTTTCTCTTTTTTATCCGGGTGGTTGTGTGAAGAACCACTCGGGGAACGCTTTAGCTAGACGGCAAAGAAAATTCTGGTAGTGTATAGGCCCTAATATAACACTGCCTCCAAGTACACTCTGAGAGGAACACGACTGTGTTGGCAAGGATGGCCTGTGACTGAATACGAAATGCCTGAATATTGGAGAAAGAGTGAAAGAAAAGAAACGTATGTGAGCAAAGTGTGAAATTTTGTGCCGGAAAGAGCATGTAGAAAGGAATAAATATAGGTTACCATTCTTATCAATCGTGTGATAGGCATGGGATGGAAGGTGTGTGTGTGTTTTTAAGAAACAAAACCGAGATGCACTCACATCGGGACTGCGTTCCCTCATGAAATGTTCTGCCACATGTTCGGGAAGAATGTTGGACAACAGCTTCCGGTTGTATGCCCGAAGTTTCTCCATCTCCTCCTTCTCCTCTACATACATCACGTGCATCAAGAAATCAAATTCCAAATAACACTTTTGCCCCGAAGTCGGAAGCTATTGCTGCCATGAAAATTGAATTTTTGAGAGGGCTGTTTATTGCCAAGGGCATGCCGTGTGCTTTTCCTTACTTCTCCATGACGAATGTTCCAGACTCGCGACTTTTTCTGAATTGCCACTTGGAAGCTGGAGCAACAAGCAATATATTACTTCTGTCCCCACTTCTACAGATTCGTTTCCCCGGTTTCATGGGACTATATATCTTGTAAGAACTAGCTTAAGGGGATACTTCATTCGTTTTATAGATTTGCCCCATTTCTATTCACATACATCCGTTTAATATTTCCGTCGGGTTCCGACAACCCCCTACTATTTCTGTTTCGACATATTATCATTCCGATCTAGATTTTATGTTTATGATATTTCTCCATTGACGATGCGACTAATAAAAAGATGAAAAGATCCACTCTGAAGGTGATACCAGTGGCTTGAAGTTTCCAGAGGAAATCCAAGCGAGAGGTAGTCTCAGACTGGGCTCCGTGGATGATGACGGCAAAGAGGAGTACTAGCACCACGGCCACGGTCACGCACACGCTTTCGGTTTCACCTTTCTCCTCTCCGGGCCAGCTGATTAAATAAAAATAAGTTCGAATAAATTTATAGATCACGGTTCATCATAGTCTGCAAGGCCTCGGGTAAGAAACGGTAGCAAATGACTTGCGACTAATTTTTTAATTTAATCCACATTTGGGAGGCCAGAAGGAAGGTCATATTATTGAGAATTTTGCTTCATCAACCAAAGGAAAGTTTTCATGGGGATTTATTTTTGTTCTCCAGCAAATCTCGTAAGCCATTCTTTTCCCCGTAAGTGTCGAAATGGGCTCACAGGGAAGGGGAGTGTATGAAGACTTGATCTTGGAAGAATAAGACCTGCAGACTGGCAAAGACCACAAAGGTCAGGTAGGTAAGGGAGATAAGACTCAAAAGGAAGATCTTGAGGATGGCTGTCATCATTTGGTAGGCAGAACACGCGATCAGTACCAGCAGCACCAACAGTGTCATGTACTGCAATTGATCAATATAGACATAAGTTCATATCATACATTATGTATATCGATTAAATATCGCAACTTTCATCTCCATATGCAGTAAAAACGAATCGGAACTAAGAAACTCTTTTGAAACTCAGAAATTACAATTGAAGTGAAGAAGTCTGCCTCGTGCTGACTCACATCAAGTCCGGCTAGTTCCTGTTCAGGGCAAAAGGGAGTAGGGGTGAAATTGCCCTCGAAGACGAGGGAAGACGCAGACTCATTGGAGTCGGATGCATTTGTTTGGACACAACCACTCACCAGGTCTTCCCACACCCACAAGCTCAACTGCACAAGCACATCCATTCACGTTCAGGCTATGATACTTTGAATTCGGGTAGAAGGTATGACGTTGTTTGTTACCAGAGGGGATAGAGCGGCGAGAAAGAGAGTGAAGATGACGCTGGATGCGAGGGCTTGAGACAATCCTCGGCTTCGGTGGATTCGTTTGGACACCTCTGTCACCATGTTTGGCATGCACTGCGCAATAGATTTCCACTTTTTACCCATGTCATCTCCGGTCGTTCTCTTAGATTCGAAAAGAGGCCAGGATTGCGTATCTGTTTCTCAATGTCGTTATGACCATGAGCTTTGTGTTTGCTTTTATGAACAGTCTTCGCGTCCGTGATTATTTTATGAATACTACACGAGATTTATACTGAATGTGGAATAATATTCCAAAATATCCTATTCCAAAAACGAATGACAGGTTTGGGACACACGCCAGCAAAAGAGAAACCCACCAGGAATCCTGAACCCTTATTGAGGCGGAGCTATGCATGTATTTCCTTTCTCCTTAACCACCTTTGAAGCGCTTGTGACCTTTCTGTGCCATCTTTAATATTTATTATTACTGTCGCCTACACATAATCAGATCAATTTCGCACCCTATTCGTGTACTAGCAACAGTCCCTCCGGAGAATGAGACAACATCTTCTGCAAGCACGAGCTGGCATAAAGTATTGAGCTCGTTCTTCCTCGTATTTTATGCAATACCCTTTACCTCTGAGAGACCTTTCTTCCGACCTCCCCGCTCCATGAAAGGCTTACGATGAATACAATTTTTTAATAGGAGGTTGTTGCCGGTCGTCTTGCCGTACTATAATTGGCATTCTCTTACTCTCTTAACGATCGTAAGCGTGGTAATGATTGGAATATAGCAATATCCTCCTAATTATTAGGGGGTTCCATTTATAGAAGGACGCCAGAGTCATTGAAAGACTGCGGGAGTAACCGCATCGTGTAATATAACCAGCAAAGGGAATGATTACACTTCCTGACTGCTCAAGCCCTAATCGCTTTATTGCAAGAGAAGAAAAAAGAATTCCCTATCCCATAATCGCATTCCCCTGCGTATACCCATTCTCTTCTCGCAAGCAGAAAAACGAAAAATTCCAATTGGGAGATATTCCGTATATCCTGAAAAACACAGCTGACTGTGGTAGGAAGAACGAGAGACCTCAGAGCACTGGGAGAGTGAGATCGGAGCCGTAGAAGAGAGAGATACCCCTGGAGTTCGGGATCTGTGCAGGCAACCACGCATCCCTTTCCAGGCCTACGTCGCTTAATTTTATCTTAAATAATACGATATTAGATAAGGACGGTTTTGAATGAGTAAACGAATCTCTTGCGAAGAATCAGCGGCATCGGGACCTGGGAGTCAAAATTAATGTCTTCCATATGAGATAACTAACGACTCGGGATGACACGGAGAAAGACAATCATAGGAGTCTAGATAGATTACAGGAAGAGAGAAGAATGAGATCAGCCACTGATCAAGTAAATGGAAGGTCTCATGACTGAGTTCGGAAGAGAGGATCACTCTCATCTATGGCATCCATTATTCAATCCACTGCCAATCTTCCAGGAATCATCAAATTCTCATTACACTAGAGAGTACTCCAGAGGCAGATTGAATCTTGAATGCTAGACGGCCTCATCACGTAACGGGGTAGAGAATTACCGTGCAACTGTCGACCATGATGAGGATGACGGCGAGAAAGAGCACTACGCCGACGCAGGTCAGAAAGATTAGCCCCATGAAGGACCTGTAGGTAGGGCAAGCAAAAAAGTAGTTAAAAAGCTTCGAAGGGAGAAGGGGGGGATGAGATGCAAGGAAGACTTACCATTTGTAGACTATGACTTGCACCGAGGTGATGAAGAGAAAAATTGTGAAAGAGCACACGAAGTACGAGGTTAGCATCGTGTCCTGCTCCCCTGCATACTGTCAAATTTAAGATGCATGATATGTTACAGTGAGACATTGGAATTTAAAACACTTAGCATAATTCCTTCGAATAAATAAATGTCAAAGCATAAATCTATATGTGAATGTTGACGTCTTTGTGGGAATGAACTTACTAAGAAGTAAGCAGATATATAGTAAGAGATGCATGGATATGCGAATAAAAAAAATCATTTCAAATAGTAAAGTTGCAAGTTGTAGCCAAGTGACACGAGTTACCTGTATTTGAAGTTCTAACAATAAGTAAGAAGTTTCCTTTCATTATTATTTAAAAAATCCTTTACCTTGCGCTCGATGCTGGGATCACGGAAAGCGAGGAGGCCGGGTTTGCAGTGCTGCGATCGGAGTCGATCGATGGATCGGGCATCGATGGCTCGGCTCAGGTAGTCCGTCACCTCGTTCTCCGTCTTCTTCCCCTCTCCCTCCTCCCCGTATCCCAACCTACAGTAAATATCAATCACACTCCCATTAGCTTTATTATCGTCTTCTTGGGTACTCTTGACATTTCCACTAAAATATGATTGAGGAGAGACCGGTTCTGTAAATGCTGTCCTTTATCAGTGCGACTCCGCCTTCGATTCCGGTTCGGTCGCGTGTTCCCGTTCATCTCCAAGGCTGCTTTCTTCCGGGCATGATGCTATTCAAACATTCCAAGGGCAATTTTAGACACATTTCACTTGGACACAAATTGAATGAAGTGCTTCGACTGTCTACAAGAATCAACTGACGTCTCGGAATTCCTGGTCGCTGACGATGAGGTAGGTCTCGATGTTATTGTCTCGTAGATAGTTATTCCTGGAACCCCCATTCCCAGGTTCCACTTTGTAGTCCGTACCCAAATAGGTCAACGTCTCCTTAGTGATGTGAATACGACTTGAAAAAGAAAAATAACTTCACTCATGACGGACCCCACGAGAGACTTGATAGAACTTTGGCAGAACCCTAATGGCCGAAATCAGGAGCATTGTGGACTAACAAATCGTCTTTTGATGTTCTTTCTCGATCAACTGCCTTGACAGCTCATTTTGTCGTCACGCACAATTGAGACAAAGCAGAGGAAACTATTTCCATTACTACTGAGGGTTTTTCTCCATTTAACAAGGGTTGACACTTGTGCGCATCTTAAGTTTCGTTTAAGGAAGGGAAGTGCGTTGGATGACGCATAGAAACGAGACAATGGGTTTTGGTGAAGGGATCAGAGAAAAGCCTGAGTAATGACAGTTGATCGGATTCCAAATTCCAGTCACTTTCGCCCCGGTTCCTCCCTGATTGATGACTCCTCCCAAATTCCCCTTATCAACACTGCAGGATTTCAGTACCATGCAGATCGAGCAACTTGGCACGAGGCAGAGGATCCTGAAATCGGAGCTTTCAATCTATATCAAGAAGAAAAAGATGATGATGAGGAGGAAATATGGGGCCTCACCCAGGAATGCCCCCGGATTCCATGTAGTTGGCAAGGGTGACGTCATTGGACCAGACGTCAAATTGCCACTTTCGGAGACCAAGGACCCCACAATGGACCCTCCCGGTATGAATCCCTACCCGCATGTTCACGTTCACACCTGTCACCTCTCTCACCAGCCTAAGAAATAAGCAATAGAAATGAATAAATAGAATCCAAAAGGAGGACTTGAGAGCAACAAGCTCTAGAGCAATAAGCCTACTTATGTCGTGCATGCACAGCCTACATCTGGGGCACTCCCGGCCTGCTTGAAGGACCTACGTTTCAGTCAACAATTATTATCCTCCCTGTAAGCGGTGCATCACCGAAGTCATGCTCCATAAATGGACTTCCTTTGAAAGCTGATTAGGGACAAGTTCCCCCAGGAGTGGTGTTAATGTGCCTAGTGGGGCGAAGGCATGGGTTGCGCTTGTCTACCCTGCTGGTCTAAATCCTCTCCGTGGATCACTCTCTTCTTTTCCTTTCACCTCCAGCTACACAGAGCAGATCGTTACACCAGATTCCCCCATTCAGTCCATTGAGCAAGTGCTGAAAGGCCTCGAAATAAGGCGTCTCAACGCCTCAATGTGTCGCGGGATTATTCTCTGTCCCTCTTGGAAAACTTTTTGACCCTCTCTTGATGTCAACATTCATGCATATGTTGACAAGAAGGGAGACTAAATATGGAAAACGGCAGACAAAATAATAAAGAAAAATCAATCATTTTAAAAACTCTTCGCTGCTTTGTGAAAAAAAGCTCATGTCCCTACATGTTGTGCTTAATGCATTTTTTTTTTAATTCAAGATCGTCTTCAGAGGACAACACCTGAATTATACAGCTGACATTAGCCTTTTAAAATACATTAGCTGCACCAAATAATGGAAGGAGGCAACTGAAATTAAGCTGAGTAAAGCAAAAAGGATATCCTTTAGGGCTGTCGGCTCGATTAGGTTAATCGACCGATCAATCGATTAATGTTTTAATCGTGATTTTAAAAATTAGTCGAAATTAATCAAATTTTAATTAACCCCTCAATCTCCCTCTGAATGCCCCTTTTTTCCCTTAAAAGTTGACTTTGCATAGTCTTGCACAACAGCTGAAAACGAATGTTTTGCCAAGGGAATTAAATGTAATGATTGGCTTGTAGAGGGTAGTCGTTTTCGCATTGCTTATTCTTCAGCAAAAACGGCATTATTTTGGGGGAAATGGAACACGAAAACAAAGCCATTGCTTTCAGACTATTCCAAAAAGAAGCTTCATGAGGAAAAGAAAGTCGGAATGAAGAACCCTGCAAGGGAATGCGCGGAAGGAATAGGGGATTTGGGCAGGGATGGGACAAGAAAGAGGATAATGTAAAAAGCTGGGGAGTGAGAGGCATACGTGTAAGTGCGTCGGTGAAGCTGTGAGAGTCCCGGGGAAGTAGCCCGGGAGAGGGGGAAAGCCGGGGGCAGGCGAGAGAAGAGGAAACAAGTGTCGAACCCTCTCCTACTCCCTGCTTTTTCTGCTCTTCCATCCTGTGTTGCCCGTGAATCGATAATGAATATTCAAATCTTCACGTAATGAACTGCCACGGTACACCTCCAGTCACTTAAGTTGCATTGTAGCATCCTTCCAGTATGGGTTGGCTAAATGGCAAAGGGGCTCAGTGCCATTCTTTACTTATGCTTCATTATTTATCTAAGTTGCAAATATTCTCTCTCCGCTTAGAATGTGTTATACGAGGTATGTAGGCTGAACTACTGTATGTATGGATGGTAACTGCTATGTTAGTGACTGCATCGCCTTGAATCACTTCCTGATGCTCCCCAAGGCGTAAGGCATGATTCGAGGAATCAGGGAATCGATAAAATGGCTCACGATTAATCTATAAACTTTTAAAATACGAGGGCCACTCAATAAGTTATCTACCTGAATATGAAAGGGATGAGCTACAGGCCTGTGCCTGCTGTGACATGTCTCGACAGGTCTCGTGAGTGCCCCACCACTATACCAGCTCAGTGGCTCAAGTCCGTTCAAAGTGGTAGCGCATTAGATTTCTTTTTCTGAGTCTGTGTCATGGATTTGACGAAAGTTGAACATCGTTCAGTGATCAAATTCCTCACCAAAGAAGGGAAAGCACCTAAGGAGATTCATGAACGTATGTCTAACG